CCATGGGTTGCCTGATACGGCGTTGTAAACTTTGACATAAAAGTGTGGCAGCTTGGGCGAGTTGGTATGGCATAACGATAGTTATAGCGCGAGAACAAAACGACGACACAGAAACAAGTAGGACACGAAAGATACGAGCGCTAACTTCCAACCTTCCAAGTTAGCGCTCGTGTCTTTCGTGTCCTTCTTGTCTCTGTTACAGTGGCTCTCTGGGTCGTCGTTTTGTTCTCCCGTTTGACATAAAGCAGGAATGTTCCTGAGATTCGCCTAGATCCAAGCCAAGTTGGGTGAAAATAGCGTTTTCGTTATTTTGACCAACGCCACCTCTAGAAGATGCCTGCCGCATGAGAAGAACAACGGCTGCCACACCCTTTTCCTCCTTTATTTTAGAATGTTCTCGGTTGCTAGCGCCACCTGTGGCGGACGGTGCAACAACGCAACATTTTGCATAGCCTCCGAAATCGCGGTGTACAGTTGCAGGTCTCGAACAGCTCTCGACTGACGCGCCCTTATGTGCCGCCGGTGAAAAACGTTTGGCAGCCGACGCGGTGTAGTACCGCCCGCTGCCGCGATAATGAATGGATGGATGGATATGGCTGTACCCTTTATATTGGGCGGTGGCTAGCGCCACCAAGCCGCAATACTTAATGAATCAAAAATTAGATTTATTTTTTCTCCTTAAATATTGAGGTTGAGGATTCGTACTTTGCAGCGAAGGGTTCAATTTTCACTCGTACCTTGACTTTAGTCACCAATCAGATAACATCATTCTAGTTAATTCTATCCGCTTAAAGTCTATTTTGCCCTCACTGTCCCTAAACCCCAGTGCTTTAAAAAACTCAGCGCCATCAACCTGAACTGCAGGCTGAAGCCCTTTACAGAACATTATCAAGTGTTCGGCAGTTTCTTCTTCATCTCCACACACACTGCATACCGTGTCTACCCCTTCGTACTTGGCCCGCTATGTCTTTGTTCGCAATACTCCCGTCCTGGCCTCAAACAGTAGAGAACTACCCTGAGTATTATCATAGATCCTTTCCTTGGCTATTTCCTGCTTGAAAGTTCGATAGATCTCTAGGGCGGACTTCTTAATCATGCCAATTCTCCACATATCGGTCGCAGCTTCCTTTACCTTTTTCTTAACCGATAATTATTTTAGGTTTGGCCCCCTGCTGTTTTCCAAGTATTTACTAGTCAATTTTCTGGTTCGATTCCACCATTTTGTATCGACATTCTTCATGCACAAGTTGCTGAATACCTTCCTAGCCCAACGCTTCTCCCCCAGTTCTCTCAATCGCTTTTCAAATGTTATCTTGCTGCAGGCTTCCCTGCCCTCAAATGATGTCCATCCCATATTTTTTTTTATTTCAAATTCCTTACAGGCCCTTTACAGGGCATTGTGTAAGGGGGGTAATTGGTGAAGTTTTACAGATCACACAAAATTAACTCACGCGTTGCAGAGCGTATCAGCACAATGAAAATATGACGCGGTTTGCAATATAAGTTGAAGTTAACAGGCGATAACAAGAAAACAGAAAAAAGAAAAGGCGATTTCATAGTGCACACACGACAGTGGGAACCGAATACAGTCATTATAGCATATGAAGGCGACATCAACCAAAGATAGCCAGCTGGCTTTACCTCAACGACGTGCCATATTTTGTTTATAAGTTGCAGAACATACAATAGGAAAAACACCAAAAAACGCAGAACCTATGCCCATACATATCACCTTGTACTCCCTGATTTGGTGTATTCCCGTGAGCTCCTAAGGCTAGCCTACCTATTCCACGTTGCTTAATTTCTAATCTTGCTTGAACTCTGATCTCATGCACAAGACCGCATTGCAGAACGTCAGACCAGGAACCATGACCCCTTTACATATTCCTCTCACAACATCATACCTATTGTAATTCCACAGTGCCCTGTTTTTCATTACCGCTGCATTCCTGTTACCTTTAGTCGATACGTATATTTCGTGTTTTCTTAGGTACTCAGCCCCACTGTTTATCCATATGCCCAGATATTTGTATTTATCTGTTATCTCTAGCGTGACCTGCTGTATTCTAAGCTCACTACCTTCATTGTCATTAAAAATCATGACTGCTGATTTTCCCCTACTGAATCTGAAATCTAACCTATCTCCTTCATTACCGCAGATGTCCACCAATCTCTGCAAATGTTCTTTGTTGTCGGCCATTAGCACTATATCATCTGCGTACATCAATGCTGGTAGTGCCTGTTCAATGAGTTTTCCTTGTTTGCCGAAAAAGAGGTTGAAGCCCAGTCCACACCCCTCTAATTTGGCCTCTAATCCTTGTTAGTACATCATGAATAACAAGGGTGACAGAGGACACCTCTGTTTAAGCCCCCGTTTCACCTCTGTGGGCTTAGATACCTGCTTTTCCCACTTTATAACTACCTTGTTACTTTTACAGATCTCCTTTAAAAAGTTAGTGACTACATCTTCCACGCCTAGTGGGTCCAGTATTCCCCACAATTCCTCTTGAACCACGCTATCGTACGCTCCCTTGATAGCCAAGAATTTCTCGAAGGTTGAGAGAACCTACAGGATAGTTTTTAAAACAAAACAGCGCCAAAAGTCAGATGCAGCTTCAATTTTATGATTTCCAAAAAAAAAAATAAAACATCCCCTATAATTTATGTCGTGCCGGGGCTTTGGAATGCAGCACAGACACCACGATTCTTTTCAACAGGTATTTCCAGTAGTTATATTGCAAATAAAATCGAAAACATTAGTGCGAAGGTCATTCATGCACTAACGATTGTGCTTCTGAGCATGCAGATGATGGTGACGGGAAAAAAATTTAAGACGTTGCCGCTGTGTGAACTTGGAGACGGAAGCTACACAAGTTTAAAGGTTACTTCTATGCAAATCTGTCAAACTAGACGCATTCACAAATGCAGGGCAAATAGAAAAACAATGCAAAAACAATACCTTATTCCTTGGAAGTTTAAAATGTTAAAGTTGACACACACACACACACCAGTCCCTGTTAACCGACTATACATGTTACTAAATGAAGAAAACAAGTTTAAAAGGTATTTTTCGCCAATAGTGAAAGAAAGGCACAAATTTGCTTCTCTTAACTTGCGTAGCAGTATAATTAGAACGCTCAGCCACGAAGATAACATGCCTAGTTTTTAACGCTAACCTGGTATAACCATGAATATCAGTTGCGAGCAATGTCTTTCAAATTTCCTATTATACGCAGAGGAACAACTACGAAAGCGCCACGGTGAAATTCGCAGTAAATCAGAAAAATAAACATTGTACAGGCCCTTAAGTTAGGAGCTGTGCACGTACTCCCGTAGCGAGAACGAATTTACGTACGAGTAATCCTTATACATAATGCGGTGGTGAATGCTAAAAGCACGCCAACATACTGATATATATAGTAAAAAATACTCATTCTACCACGTTATATAATCGGTGGCTACATTAGTGATCAGAAGGCTCTCAGTAAAGCGTAAGTAAACAAAGCAACAAACCATCTATTGCGCTTCCTGTCATCACTCACGTAGTTCGTTAGTCACCCATGCGAAAGTAGGCTTTCAAACGACACACACGGAAACACTACCGTAAATATAAACTGCAATTAATAGACGCATACATGACAAAATAAACTAAGCAGGTAGACACGTTCAGCAGCAGACGAAATGCCATCAGCTGTTCGTTCAGCGGCCTGGGTTCGACTGTTGCCAGACTTGAAGGAGAGTTTCGCTAACTCTATCAGCACAAAGCTTAGGGAAACAACACTACCCCTCTAAATGCACGTATTTTGCTGTAATGTCAATTTAGAAAAAAGAATAACTAGAAAAGGCGTTCTCTTAATGTACATAGATAGGCAATTCGTAACCACAATTGCGAATACTCTCGTTATCAGGAGCTTTTCTCGGCGCATGCAGTTCACTCAAGTGAAGGGAGCATTTCCAAGGCCTCCCTTGGCGAAGGAAGTGTGGAGGAGCGTTAATGAAACGCAGCGGCCCCTTGAGTGGAGGAGCATGCTCCACCTTGACTAAGGTCAAGTCGAGGGGAGCCCTTGAGTGAAGGAGCGTTTGTGAATATGGGCCCTAGTCTAGAAACGTTGGGTGTTGTCACCAGGTCGCAGCAGCGTTAGTTTTGGGCAACGCCTCCTCTAGAAAGATGCCTGAGGAAGGGTTCGCGCTCCCAGCGGAGTTGGCCTGCCTTCAGTTTTAAAAAAGCTGCACGCAGTGGCGCTCGCGACCAACACCATCAGTGCAAAGTACGAATCCTCAACCTCGCTATTAAAGAAAAAAAATAAATCTAATTTTTGGTTCATTAGGTATAACGGCTTGGTGGCACTAGCCACCGCCCGATCTAATTGCTACAGCCATATCTAACCATCCATCATCACGGCGACAGGCGGTACCAGCTTAGCGTTTTTCATCTGCGGCCCATAGGGGCGCGTCAGTCGAGAGTTGTTTGAGACCTGCAACTGTGCACCACTATTTCAGAGGCTATGCAAAGTGTTGCGTTGTTGCACCGTCCGCAACAAGTGACGCTAGCGACCAAAATATTTTCAAAATGAAGAAGAGAAAGGGCGTGGCAGCTGTTTTTTCTCATGCGGCAGGCATCTTTCTAGAGGAGGCATTGTTTCGGAAAACTTTATGCCAGCAGCGGCGGCCGACCAACTCCAATGCGCAACACGTAACCATGGCAACGCCGCCGTTGGGCCCAGTGAATATGGCCGCTATGATGTCATTTCCCCCACACTTTTCACGCCGCGCGCCGGCTGGGCATGCCCTCTCCTACCTTTCCTTCCTCGTATATCCATTCGTCCGATGGTGGCGACTTCTGGTCCTGATCAAAAGCTACAAACCACAAAAACATTCGCTTTTGCACTCAATTGATGTGTACATTTATTTGTAATGCTTTTTGCATTATAAATATTATTGCAGCATTTTAAAATTGTACTAGCCAAAAAACTTTTTTTTCCATCTTGCTTTGCACGTATTTGGTTTTGGCGCGAATGCGCTGCGCCATGCTCCCCACCAGACTGCAGTATTAGGCGCCTTTTTCCTCTTCCAGCCGCTACTACCAAACTGGTAAGTGTTCTGTGCTACTACCATTCGGTGTAGCGGGGTAGCTACTTGAAGAGTTGAGTCGTCTCGTACACTGTCGTCACCTCTAAACGTGTCACCGCAACTGCCGCTACAAGCTCTGCACGAATGAGGCGATTGGAGCAGTGGGGAATTGTGCCTGTCAGCGCCTACGACTTCGCGATCGAGGGTCGTGAAAAAACTGGCGAGCTCCTGAGAACAGCTAAAGTGCACAAACGTCTCAGTAGTGCGCATATCCTGTGTGTTGACGGCAGGAGCTACGAGCTTGTGGGACCGTTCAACCGAGCTGCGGGTGCTAGAGGATGCATTCCGGCGCGAATACTCGACGCATTTGTGAACGGTGTACCTCGGAACTGGAGACAGGTCATACTGGGTTGGGGTGAAGAAGAAATAAATGCCCCGCATTGCTGTGAAGCCGAAAGCCCAGTGAAGTTCCCAGACCTCCGTCCTCAGCCTTGTTCTGCTGACAGCGATTCCCAGAAGATGCGGCCAGGCCAGCAGCGCAGACAATACAGCCGTGTGGTTTCGCCAATCAAGAAGCATCGAATATCACGAGCACCTATGGAATTGTCCCCGTGTGTCCTTCTCCTTTGCCGCTGAAAGAAGTGGCAATTGTTGTTGAAAGACTGCCTGCGGCGATGGTTACCGAAATGGTGAATGGAGCCAGTGCAGTGGGACCGAGCACGCCTCATCTTGCGTTGTCTGATGAAAAAAAATGTAGACTGTCAGCTCCAACTAAAGTGTCGTTGTCTGGTAAAGCCAAGCAGAAGGTGCCGAAAAAACATGGAGCAATGTGGGCACGTCCTTGAGAAGACGTTCATGCCCTGCCACTCTTGCTAGAGCACGTGATGTATCGGGAGAACGCAGCGACGGAGTGTGGACTCGGTCGCGAACCGCCAGTGCTCAGCGAATCTTGCGGAGCGCAAAGAAAGGAATGCAAGCGACTCCTGATGTGAATGGCAAAATGCAAAAAGCTTTAACCCCTAAAATGCACTTCAGGAAGCAAAGTATTTCTGGCAGCAAAGGTAAAAAAATTGCTTCCCGAAACCGTGGCCATGTTATTGAATTGCCTGGAGTCAAAAGGGTGCTATCATCTCTGCCACCTTGGAATTATAGAAAGAACTGTAGTGGTCAAGGCCATAAGAAAGAGACAAAGCCGAAAGATAAATCTGAATCGCGTAGTAGCCGGAAGTCTTCCAGAGGAGAGCAAACGCACAGTGGGAAAATGAAGGTATGCCAAGAATGCAAGGGCAGTACAAGCATCCAGACCAGAAGTCATTGTTATCCAACATGCAAGTACAGTGAAGTTCATGCTAAAGTTGTGTCACCATGTATTTTGCCAGACAAGTCAAAATCTAGCATGAATAGTTCTCTCCGCAGTCTTGTTACCATGGAGAAAACATGTATTCAGCTCAGAAGCGATAAACGTGATATCTTAGCTTCAAAGCAGCCTGCAACGACTGCAAGTTTGGAAGAGTGCCCTTCTGCTATTACCAACAAGCGGTATCCTGTACGCAGTGGTAAAAAAAACAAGCAATACAGAGTTGTCATCAGCGAATAAAAAATTTAGTGACTTAATTTCACTGTCTGGGTGCCAGGATGAGCCTGCAAAAAAGGACTTTCTCCCTCGAGAGGATGAATGCGGACTTGATGGAAGTGAATTTGTGCAGAGAAGAAGTGGCCGCTTCTATCAATGCAAGAACAGCGTATGTGAAAACAAGTTTGGAGCCCAGCCACTGAATATCCTGCCAGCTAAGCGTAAAAGCAGCATAAGTGATGTTCAACGTACTGTAAATGATGAGCAGCAAACAGGTACTCCACACAGCCATTGTACGTCTCGTGAAAGCACATTTGCTAAGCAGAAGAAAGCAACAGCTAGTCTAAGAAAAAGCAGTTTCTCTATTAAGCAGAAGCGTCCATCACGTACTACCAATGACACTGGCAGTGCACAGGCTATACCGGTTAAAGGGAAGTCGCACAGAAGAATATCATCTGGCAGCCGAAAGAGTCCTGCGAGGAAGAGCAGTTTTCACTCTGAAGTACAGGAAAAACATCAATATAGCCTTAGGAATGATGGACTGGCTGTACTCAAGCGTGCAACCAAATCGTCAAGTGTTTTGGTAGCTAAGCACAAATTCAGCCTGGACTCTTCTCAAAGCACTGCAAGTGGTAAGCAACATGCAGTTGCTTCACGCAAGAGCCAGACCTTGAGCAAAAAAATGGTTACAAAGCTGGAAAAAGCAGCCCAAAATAAAATACAGCACAGTTCTTCTACAGTCAGAACTCTCCGTTCATTAAGCAATGAGTTTAACAGTAACCGCTCAGGGTCACTGTCCCACAAAGGTAAACCAAAATTGAATGACAGGTCACCAGGATATGGGAGTGAGGTTCCAGACAAAAGAATCCATTCACTCAATACCCGAAGAACAGCATTAAAAAATTCAGCAGCCACAGCTTCACCCAATACATCTAAGAAGACCTTTGGAAATGTTCGTGAAGAAAAAGCTGCTTCACGTGCTCATCACAAAATTTGTACTCTATCCGGATCAGGCCAACGGAAGTCAAACAGTTTGTCAACTCGTGGAAATAATGCTCAAAGACAAAGAGAGACAGCAAAGAGAAAATGTTCTGCTGCAACTTCATCTGAGTCTTCACCCAGAAAAAAAGCTTCCAGACATACTCCTGAAAGCAAAAAATGATCTATGGTTACATCACTTACTAGGTCCAGTAGGGCTACAGCAGACAAGCAAGGGATCAAGGAAGATACCCATAGGACAAGAGAAAGTTTGCTCCATAAGCAAAGGGGAGTCGTCAGCTGTACCTTTGAGTGCAATACCTATAGTACAAGAGAAAGTTTGCTCCATAAGCCAAGGGGAGTCGTCAGCTGTACCTTTGAGTGCAATTTTGGCCAAGAATGCAGCCAATGGAGGTATTGCCAAAGCTGTAGATGTTGTGAATAAGATTGATGATGAAAATCACAGTAATACCACTGGCAGCAAAATATCACAAAAGGAAAAAGCACCTCTGGAAGTTAGCAAGAATAACAGTAATGGCAACTCTCTTGGACTGCCAAGTGCTAGCGGTGCTAAGACTTTCGGAAGTGTACTACAAACAGTGCAGGCTGATAATTCGGGTACTTCAGATGAACTGGAAAAGATTTTTTGTGAACAAGCTGATCCTTTCATAAAACCACTGCCATTCAAGCAAGGTCTTAGCTTAGGCTCTAGAAGTCAGACTCGAAAGCCTGGAGCAAATGAATCCACGGAGGCATTTCTGGCAATAACAGCCCAAAAGGGCACCCTCAAACGTGAGGGCCAAACCAAGACGCTGGCAGACGCGCTGGCAGCGAAGGAAGCCTATGATGACATTTACAATTCCCAGGACTTACGTGGAAACATTCCTGATGAACTTTGCACGTCAGAAAATTGGGATGATCGGTCTGAGATAGACATCCAGGTATCTAGAATGCCAACACCTGTGCTGAATTCCCCACATCTTAGCCCAGAAAGGAGTCAGTACTCATTTTCTAGTGAAAGTTCATTATCTGAATCGCCAATAGTGCCACTAGCACCATCAGCCGCAGCTGCTATCATGCGGAGCCTCCGTATGCAAACTTATGTGCCCACTTTCAAACCCATAACACCAAAACCAAAATATATGAACAAAAACCCAAACGTTAATAACGTGCTACAAGGACTGCGGAATCTGGAGGCAGAGATGGAGAAAAACAGACTGAAAGAAAACTGCAAAAATTCCTCTGAAGAAATGGAGGAGGACACGGATCTGGAAAGTAGTCGGGATGAAAAATCTTTTTTCCACTGATATATACAAGTTCCACATGAGAACCATAGCACATAGTGAGTGCCTTTGTTTAAAGTACTACTTCATTATTCTGTAAAATTTTATTAACTTGACATCTCAGCAGCATTGGCAAATAAAGCTGAATGAATGTATTTCAAAGGTGCTAGATTCATGGAGTGTTCCTTTGTATTTGTTGAGATGAAACTACATAACTTGCATTGACGTCGCTGTAGTCACCATCTTCAGGTACCAGCCAGTTAACATGCTGCATGAACTCTTGCTCGACCGCATGAAGCAAGAAACTGTGATTTCAGATTAGTGCCGGTGTCCCCTGTAATTTTTTGGGCTCCCCTTTGGCAAAGCTGGCGAACAGAAGAAACCGGGCAGAGTACGAAATAACGCGAGGGGTGAAAGGCCCTCTATCCTCCCCCTGCACTTATATTCTATAATGAGATAGAAATTCGTAGTGGCTGCCAGCTTTAGGTACCCAGTGCAGAGAACCTGTCCTGTGACATCATGTGCAAGTTATGTAAAGTCATCTGGACAAATTCATTAGCATCCATTAGCCTTAGAAAATTTGTGAGTATCATCAGAGCAAGTATAAAAGACAGCAGGTCTTGGTTGTCCTTTATTATGTGTTAAATATGTGCAAAGTAAATTGCCTTAAATTGCAAGAAAAGGAGGTAGCTTAATTATGCAGCAGCAGGACTTGGCTGAGATACTTTGCAATTGTATAGAGATACGGCACAGGATACCAGCTCAGTAAGTAGTTGAGATACAAATACAAGGTAACAGCCGAATAAACATATCTGATATATTTGTCATTTGTGCCTTGAGATACCTGGGCACATTACTTATTTCTTCATTGTACTGGCATTGTTGGGCATGCTTGCAGATAGTACCCCTGTCACACAGTTCAAGTAAATTTTGAGAGAGTGGGGCAGTGTCATTTGCACGCTGTCGCACTTTGTGGAGCATACTTGCCAGCGAGTCCGTTTGCCAAACTCATATCGCTACATTGGAGTGGCTAGCGTCTGGAATCAGTTGCCCAAAAACAATTTATTATCAGATGCTCAGTTATAGTATTAGTTCATAGTATTTTTGAAACTACTATTTTTGTGATTTGGAATATTGTTATGTATATTATACCACAAGAAAACTACTTGCTATTTTCAATCTTGGGG